TGCCTTATTAGCTGATAATCACAAACACACGTCTGGACGGGGACTGGGACTGGAACAGGGAACGGTAAAAAAGTACTCAACTCGCCTGGCATATTAAAGTGCATTAAGATAATTGAAATGGCCAATAAAAAATATTTTCCCTTTTCCAGGCTCAGTCGGTGTCAAGAACTTGCCCAAAGTGTTGAGTATCGCGCTCTGGGCGTTTTCAGTTGCCCAGTTTCGTTTTTTTTGTATTCTGGAGTTTCTTTTGGGGTCTTTGGGATCGCAACTGAGTTATTTGTGAAGCTGCTTTTTTCTCGGAACTCACTCGCGCTGAAACGTTTTTCAATTTCCACATTTCTCATGCCATGGTCTCTCGGGAGTTTTGATTTAGTGATTATGTGGGCATTATGTATATGAGTTATTAATAAGCTTTCTTCCGATAAGCCAAGCGGTACTCCGCAGTTCATACAATGGGCGGATGGACGGTCAGGCCGGGATTCAAGTGTTTGCTTAAAATGATTTAAGGCGTTGCCCCGGCAGAATCGGGATGTGGCTGAGTCAATCCAGGACATCTGATAATTGTTTTTTTAACGGCTGTTCTTTGTTGTTTTTTAAGACAGCCGAGGGATAGCCAGGTCGGATTTCCTGTCTTGGAGAAACTCTGGCTTTATAATTGCCTTGCAACAAAGAAGTTTTCTTGGCATGAGAGAAAGGTACATATATCTAAAGAAAATAAATTAGTTTGCATACCTTTTTTAGGTAACAAATTTTTTAGAAATACTTTAATTAAACCAAAGATAAAAGGAATGGAAAATATGTAAACAGGAAAATATTTCTTGAAATTCTTTTCCTTTATAGGGGTTTGTTTTAAAAAGATGTACAGTATAAGTAGAGTAAGCAGGAATCAGAAATTTAGTTTTCAATAAGCTGTTGACATGAAAGGACAACTAATCTTTGGTATTCTTCTCCTCGGAGCTCATTTCGGGTTTTCTTTTCCGAATGACCATCAACGAATTATTAATGGCAACTTGGCCGTTGCAAAGCAATTTCCCTATCAAGTTTTCTACGATGTCCTTGATCTCTCCAATCTTCTCATGCCAATATGGGCAGCAAAATGTGGCGGCAGTTTAATATCCAAACGAATAATCCTAACGGCAGCACATTGTTTTCGTGAACCAAATATGTAAGAAATGTTAAAAATTCTCAAACAATTTTCTCATATTTAAATTACTTTTAGCTATGCTATTAAAATATACTTTGGTACACTGGATAAATCAAACCAAAGCGAAATCGGTCAACAATTGTTGGTCAATAGAGCTAACGTTGTTATTCATGAAGAATTTGGTATAGTTGGGAGTTTTAACGATATTGCTCTAATTAAACTTCCCATAGATATTGCCTTCAATGAGTACATAAGACCAGTCAAGTTACCCCAAATTGGTATTATCTACCCAACTGAAGCAATTGCCTCTGGTTGGGGATCCATTAGAGGTAAGCTAGACTCACAATTTAAAATCATTTCTAACATCTCCAACTAGTTTTAGCTGATGAAACCAATATTTATGACAATAAATTGAGGTACACCCAAATGCAAATCTTATCACACGCTGAATGTTTGGAGCAACATCGGAAAAACTTTATTTTATCCTCAATAATTTGCCTCGCTCCAAGTCAGAACGCACCATGCGGTGGAGATTCGGGAGGACCTCTAACTGTTAGCCATGAAGGAGACATTATCCTTCTTGGCATTACATCTTATGGCTTTACTACAAAGTGCACAGATGAATTTCCTGAAATATATACGAGGGTAGCCTCATATCTCAACTGGATTCATGATAACGCTGGTGCTCACAATTTGGAAGTGTGAAAAATGTTTTAATATATTTTATTAAATCAGAATGCCGATGCATATTTCAAAATAAATGCTCCAGTTCCTTTGAAAATTATTTAAAAGACCCTTCCACCTTGACGAGGCCCATAAATTAGCCCATTTCTCTCTCTTACTCTGGAGAATTACCGCCAGCGTTGGCACCAGGAAGTAAGCGACCTACAAGCGTTTGTTCGGGACTTTCCAGGAATTTTCGAGGCGTAGCAACTGTTTGTGACATGTTTTGATTTGTGTTGTCGACGTTTACGAGCTTGTAACTCTTGCCAAGTCAGGGATTTAGACCTGGACCTGGACCCCTGGACTTGGACTTGGATTTGGATTTGGACTTGGACCTGGAGCTAGGCCAAAGAGACTGGTCGCCACTCACTCGACACAGAATCGAAGTTGTTATCGATGACATTAATAGCGATTGGGGGGCTTTCATCAATTACAAGGCTTTGTTGAGGACCAGCAACCAGCAAGAGCCACAGCAACATCCACATCCACATCCACATCCACATTCAGCTCGGCCTACGCAGCGAAATTGTAAATTATTACAATGCAAATGATTTCCATATTGTAAATATGATGCAGTGTTGCCAGGTGATGAGCGCCCATATAAGCTAGATTTAAAAAAAAATAAGCTAGAATAAGCTAAACAATTTTAAAAAAATGCGAAAAAACAAGCTACACCCAAATATGAGAAAACACGAAACATATAATATATATTATTATATTATATGAATATGTTATTATTAAAGAAAGTCTTAAAAATATGTTCTTAAAGTAAGCACTTAAAACAAATTAGTTAATATTTCATCAATTCCTTCATGTTGTTCGTCGCCGAGTGTTCGGCAATGAACAAACAAAGCGCTGCTTCCTGATCCTGAGTCTTGCAACACTTAGCCGGAAAATTTATTTTTTGCGATTCAGCAACTGATCTCATTGATAAAATGTGCTTTTTCGATGCCGCATGCTGCCTGATTTAAAAAATTTTGGCTGATATTGTCGACTTACAGTAGCAACAATATGCTTTGGTTCCTTCTCCTGGCACTTAAATTCGTTGTTTTGGAGCCAAGCATCCCGAAAAATCTGTTTATATATAACTTTCGGCATTTTGAGGACACGCTTTACCTATTTTCACAACACAACAAAATTATTGGTGGTAACACTTCAGCCAACAAATCGATCTCCGATAACACTTTCGATTAGAAATAAGTTCACGATCACATAAAATGCACATAACCATCGGAAAAAAAGAACAAACTCCAATATTTTCATGCTATAAAGCATATTTTTCGTAAAAACCATTCCGTGGATGTCAAAAATACATAAAAAGCTAAAATATGCTAGATGAATTTTAAAATAAGCTATATTTCAAGCTATAAGCTAGATGGAAATTTTTCAAGCTTTTCTAGTTTCAAATATGCTAGAACTAGCTTATAATAAGCTAACCTGGCAACACTGATATGATGTGAGTGCTGATAAAGCAGCGGGGCTGGCAAAAGGGAACCGCCTCTGCCTGTTGGCCAAGTTTGTGCAAACAAAAGTTCAACGCATTCAAAGTCAAGGCTTCGAGATGGTCACAGTGGTTCAGGGTTGCACTTGAATGCTTACTTCTTTTATTTTTAAACATTTCTATATATGTAGTAATTGGATTTCGGTATGTTATTATATTAGTTGTACTTAGCAAAAACATTTTGCATAAACCAGTGATTTGCTGAAGCAAAACTTGGTAATTTTTAAGCAACAACTTTTATACCAAAGGAGGATTTCTATAGTATATGGTATAGAGTATAGAAATGATCTTTTCGTTCTCTAAATTTATATATTGTATTTTTCTCTTCAATAACAAGTGCATGTTGTATTCAAATTATAGTATTCATTAGCATTAAAATAATATTTAAATTTGCTATTATTTTAATGCTAATAAATTATATAATTTGAATTTGGTTGATTACAATATTCCCCCAAAAACTTGCATTCCTTGGTACCAATGTGCAGTTAAAGTAATTTTGCCAAGTACCGTTTTGGGCTTGGATCTTGGCCTGGCTTTTGGGCTGGGACTTAAGTTTCGGAACTGGGTTTCTGCGTTTGCATTTTGGCTTTCGGTTTGGCTTTGGGTTTGGGTTTGGGTTTCGGTTTCCTTTGCCGCCTTGACCACGGCCAACTACCACCAACGACGTCGCCGGCAATCAAGTCAAGAAACCGCGCCGAACTGTATTAACTCTTGTCTCCGGCCAACTGTTGCCCCATTGCCAAGTTTCCAAGTCTCCGAGTTCCCGAGTTCCCGAGTCTCCGAGTTACCAAGTTGCCGTCTGCCGCTGTCAGTTGGCATCTTCCTGTTTGCACAAACGTCACGTTCGAGTCACGTTTCCAACTGCCATCAATGGGGTGCCCGGGCACTTAGTCTCGCCCATAGCCGCAGTTGATGTTTCCCACAAATTTAAGGCCGCGTCCGCAATTCGCCATTCGTATCTGAGGAGAGTCCGCTGTTTGGGTTCTGCTGGGCGCTGGCGTAACGCAACAATTTCGCAATCACCTGACAATGTGACAGGTAATAGTCGTGTCCAGCACACTAGACATTTGCATACTCATAGGCACGGGCACCGCCGCCGAATAGTCAACTGTGAAGTAATTTCGATGCCAGAGTGCCGGATCGCATCGCCCGATGGTCACCTTCGGTCCGTGTCTGGCTCTGGAGCATACTGTGATAAGTAATTGCATTGCGTTCTCAGCAGAGAGAGAAAATTTTGGGATATAGATACATTATCTCAGAGTTTTGAGTTTGTCCAAGACATCTTGGGAAGGTTCTTTGTATATAAAGTCATCGCATAACTTGTGACTCAAGGCTGCCCACAGAGAATGTTAGATTTAATAAAACTATATTGTTTAACATTCCACGATTGAGTAAGAAGACCCATGAAAACTTTGTAATTTTTCAATTATAAAGAAATGCCTTAACTACAAGATAATAACAATGTAAAAGTAAATAATTATAAGTGTTATCGGTGAACAAAATAATTTATTTTAGTTCCTTTCCTTTAATAAATAACAAAATCGTAAATTTTGATATAAGGTTTGTTCCAAAGAGATGTACAGTATAAATAGAGTAAGCAGAGCCCAGAACTTTAGTTTTCAATAAGCTGTCGACATGAAAGGACAACTTATCTTTGGTATACTTCTCCTCGGAGCTCATTTCGGATTTTCTTTTCTGAATGAACATCAAAGAATTATCAATGGCAACTTGGCCGTTGCCAAACAATTTCCCTATCAAGTTTTCTACGATTTCCTTAATGTCTCCAATCTTCATATGCCTAGATGGGCAAGAAATTGTGGTGGAAGTTTAATATCCAAACGAATAATCCTGACGGCAGCACATTGTTTTGATAAACCAAATTTGTAAGAAAGGTTAAAAATTCTCAAAACATTTTCTTGTATTTAAATTAATTTTAGGTATCCTATTAAAATATACTTTGGTGCTGTGGACATATCGAACCAACGCGAAATCGGTCAACATCAATTGTTGGTCAATCGAGCCAACGTTGTTATTCATGAAGAATATGATAAAGTTAAAATTTATAACGATATTGCTCTCATTAAACTTCCCATAGATATTGCCTTTAACGAGTACATAAGACCAGTCAAGTTACCCCAAATTGGTATTATCTACCCAACTGAAGCAATTGCTTCTGGTTGGGGATCCATTAGAGGTAAGCTAGACTTACAATTTAAAATCATTTCTAACATATCCAACTAGTTTTAGCTAATGGAACCGATATTTATGACTATAAATTAAGGTATTCCCATATGCAAATTTTATCACACGCTGAATGTATGGAGCAACTTCCGGAAAAATTTCCTTTTTCCTCAATAATTTGCCTCGCTCCAAGTCAGAACGCACCATGCCGTGGAGATTCGGGAGGACCTCTAACTGTTAGCCATGAAGGGGACATTGTCCTGCTTGGCATTACATCTTATGGCATTACTGAAGACTGCACAGATGAATTTCCTGAAGTATATACGAGGGTAGCATCATATCTCAATTGGATTCATGATAACGCTGGTGCTCACAACTTAGAAGTGTGAATGAACTATCGTATATCAAAAATACCTATGTATCCTATCTGGATCCCTTTTTCTGTTTTAAAAAAACATAATATACACTCCTATTATTCCAAATAAATTATCTTACATTTGCAATGATTTCTCCAAGTGTATACCTGCATTCGCTTCACACAATTTGGGCCATTGCCAAGCTAGTATGGCCAGAAAGGAAGGCCAGAGAAGCGAAGTCGAACCGAGGCGAATCCATTCATGAAAAGGGGCACCCGCCTAGGAAACCGAACCGACTCGCAGCCATATAAATTGCTGAGATTTCTCTTCCTTTGACTGCCTGCCTGCCTTGTTATTAAAAGTTCAACCCACATGAGAAGCAATTTGCAAACTGTTAGAACGAATAAATAGTTGAGCTGGGAGCAGGGATCTTAGCTGTAAGTGGCACTTGGCTAGGAATTTGATAAGCTCGAAAAAGAGATGCATTTGCACCTGAAGCCGAATTCGAATCCAAGACCCAGTATCAGGTCAGCCTTTTGGAAAACAATACCGAAAGTGATTCCTCTCGGCTCAGGAAAAACACTTTGCCCTGCCATTTGGCTTTCTTTTTGCTCTTTCTCTTAACCTTTTTTTCTGCAGGCTTTCTCTGTGTAGAAAAAAAAGAGGTGCACTTTCGACCAGATTTATTCCAATGCCAAGCCTTTTCTTCTGTTTTTTGTTGCTTTGACTCTTCTGCCTTTGACTCTTGGCATGTTTGCTCTTGGCTGATTATTTCACTGATTAAGTTTATGATTCATAAACCAGAAATTTCAATTCAAATGTTCATAGAGGGGAGAAGAGGTGGGAGATTTTAAATAAATTACAAGCCCCACGTTGTAGGCTAATTGTATGCAGAAAGACACCTGTGGGTTGTAACTGCACCTGGGAAAAATAGGTACTAAAAAGAAAATATACTTCAAGATGCTTTAAAAAGGTTACAATTACATTCAATACTTGTTCCAATAAAATACTTTTCTTACTGTTTGTCAACTGAAAGATACAAATGTATACAAATGTATCTTTTTCTCTAGGTGTTGGATTTGGGGCTGGGTTCTCCGGATTGCTTAAGCGACAGTTGCAATTTGCAATGCGCTTGTAAGATGCTTTCGCCAATCTTTTAATAAGAATCAAACACTAGACGAGAGAGAATTCAAAACCATTTCTCGTATATGAGCAGTCCCCAAACTTATCGCTGATCGCGCCGGTAGGTAGGCAGCCTAGCCTGGGTTACCTCGGAGAGAGATGGAGATTCGAGGCCTCACAGAGCCTGGTGGTGGGCAGTACACCACACCAGCCTCGACTCCGACTACAAATCCAGGTCCTAGCCAGGCCTAGTCAGATAGCCAGCTTCTTGCCTCATTACAGTTGGCCTGGTCAGCGCTGCTTGGGTATGCCAATCATGCGTTCGGACCTAACTGCAATCCAGATTCAGTTTGCTTTCGGAATAATACTGAGAGAAATTTTCCAGGAAATGGCAAGGGATAATATTATGACTGTTTTCTAGATTTAGTTGGGATTTTCTCATAAACATTTCTTGGACAAATGTTTAGTAATTTCTGCAAAATAACTTGTTTAACTTTTTAAACTGCAAATCAATCTCTTTCTCTCTTTGTAACTTTTAATAAATATTACGGGGTTATTGGTATTTATTGCAGTGACTTTTTAGCCTTGTTTTCCCTCTGCCAATCCTGGCCCAAACAGAAGTTCTTGTCGCTTGTTCCTGTTAGCTGCTTGTTCGGCGTGGCCATTGAATATTTCAAATCGCAATCAGTTGGCAGGCATCGCGCTCCCCTTGCCCCTTACGCGTTCCCAATCCCTGGGATTCCTGGCTACCGGCGGGTGTACTCACCGCATTAGTTTCAATGCGCTTTAATTTATTAAAATATCAAATTTAAGTACATGCTCTGCGGCGGCTAGAACGAACGAACAGCAGCTCCAAGGTAGCCAATATTTGTGGCAGCTGCAATCGAGATTTGCGGGTGATTAGTGGCGGCTGAAATCGGAGAACCTTTTGGGGTCCGCACTTCCACAAGAAGCCAGTGATAGATGGCTTCTCCTTGTGGGGGCCAAAAGAAATGGAAATTGAATTCAAACTTGACTGGGAAATATTTTCAGGCAAGTCTAAATTAATAAAAGAATTATCTGATGAAGGATTCTGTACTATTTTTATATTTAAAGCGATTTATTAAGTATTTTTAAGCTTAAGAAGCTTTAAACTTACTAAACTTTCGCAGAGTCAAGGCTCAAGGCTTAGCACCTTAACTTGACCCATATTTCTTCTGTATTTATTTTCGATAACCAAGTACTTGTATTAATTAAACCCTAAGGAATACCTTAAAAGGAATAAATATATATATACACATTGGCAGCACAAAGGAAACATAAATTTTCCACCAAGACACTTTCCTGGCTGACTTGTCTCGGAATTATGCGATATTCAGCCCAGTCCCGATCCTGAACCAGAACGAGAACCGTTAGCATTTGGCTTTTGATGTTCGGCGCACAGAAACATTAACATAAATATGAACGCGAGATAAGTGAGGAACACACCCAGTCAGTGCACAGAGTGTGTGTGTGTGTGTGTACTGATGAGGAATGAAAATTTGCCAAAGGAGTTGAAGTAGGAAGAAGTGGGAGGAACCCCGAGTCGAGCCGAGCTGCAACTTGCCTCATTGACATGCGTTAGACACACGACTGTGCCACACAGCCAGAGCAACTCCCAACAGCAACTAGCAATAGCAACAGCACAGGGAAAAATATATATTTAAAACACAATTAATATTATTAAATGGATTTTAACAAGGTTTAAGCAGAAACCTCTAAAATTTACATATAAAACTAGCTTCGAAAAGCTGACCGAAAGTATAATAACCTGCAGGGTATACATACTCCCATTTTTTTAGGCCGATATTCTATTCCTACAACCGACAGTTTAAAATACTCATAACTAAGCCAAAATGTATAAATTTCAATTCGGAAAACTGTTTTGTGCTTGCTTTTAATAGGTTAATAAATCTGTATACCCAAATTAAATTTTTAAAATATTAAAATTTTTGTCCATTTTTCAAATGTCAACAAGGTCAAAAATCACTTAAAAAGTCCGAAAAAATTAGAAAAATTTAAATTTCTTTCCTACATGTCTAGAAAGATTCGCCTGTTTATCCTGATCAAGAATATATATGATATATAGGGTAGGAAATGACTCCTTCAGTGAATTGTAAGCTTCTGACTGAAATTTTAATACCCTGCAAGGGTATAAATATTCACATTCTCTTTATATGAAGATTTTTCTATAGTCCGCATCTTAAAAAATGCATAACTTAGCCAAAAAAGCATTAATTTCGATTCGGAGATCTGTTCTGTGCTAGTTTTTAATAGCTTAATAAATCTGCATACATAAAATACATTTTAAAGATATATAAAATTTTGTCAATTTTTCAAGTTGTGAACAAGGTCAAAAAGTCACTTAAAAAGTTTGAATAAATTTCAAAAATATAATTTTTGTTTCTTTAAGCCTAGAAAGATTCGCCTGTTGATTCTGATCAAAAATATATATGATTTATAGGGTCGGAAATGACTTCTTCATTGCGTTTAAAGCCTCTGAATTATAATTTAATACCCTGCAAGTTATTCCTTCGGTCTATATTTATCTATATATTTATATGAAGAGTTTTTTACAGCTTAAAAAATGAATAACTAAGCCAAAAATTCATTAATTTCGATTCGGAAAGCTGTTCTGTGCTAGTTTTTAATAGGTTAATAAATCTGCATACCTAAATTACATTTTTGAGGTATTAAAATTTTGTCAATTTTTCAGAATGTAAAATAATGTAAAAACCTGTTATAAATTTATGAAAAAATTTCAAAAAATTTAATTTCTTTCGTGTATGCCCAGAAAGATTCTCCTTTTATTGCTGATCAAGAATATATATGGATTATAGGGTCGGAAATGACTCCTTCCCTGTTTTGAAAGCTTTTGACTAAAATGATATGACCCTACAAGGGTACAACCAGAAAAGTACGTTTTTAGTTTAAAGCAGTTAAAGTTTATAAGCTTAAAATGTAAAATGTTATTACATTTCGTGATTGCAATGGAATTCAAATTATGTTCGTGTTAAGAACCTTAGTATTTATTCTAAACAAACATTTAAATTTGGTCAGAGATAGATTGCTTCTGAAAAAGGTTCTTAAAGAACTGTACTTCTGTTCCTTGATAAAATCTTTGCTGATTTAGGAATTATATTATTTATAATATAATTAAATTTAATTTAAATTTTTAAATAATTAAACAAATTAGAAAGTTTTTATTTACCAATATATCAATTCAATTTCCCCATTATTATTAAATTATACCATCTTTTGGTTCTGTGTATTAGCAGATACAATGACGATGGGCGCATTTTTTTTGGGCGTGATGGCGTGTTGTGGGCGTGGCAACAGCATCTGGCCACAAAATCTGAATAGATGATCGTAAACAGAATATTCGTTTAGCGGTCAGAATGCAGGTTTGGCGCTAACAAAGCCCGAAATCCAAAGAATCAACTGATTGCTTGAGGGGAGTGGCTGCTATAAACGCTAGCAACACAATTGACACCGAACGGCAACATGTGGCTGGCAACATTCACAAACAATATTACAATAAATATTAAATTAAAAAAAAATATAGAATATATACAGTAAAATAGCAAACATATTCTATAAATAATTTTAATTTTTCTGGGGTTTTACAAAGCCATGTTTAAGATGAACTACATATGGAGTTCCTTTCAGTCCGTTGGAAACCTTTACTTTCATAAGATTACTTTTAATATTTCCATTTATTCTTAATCTCATTATCTCTATTGATATCTCTGCTTTAGAAAGTAAGTAAATTCTTGCTTTAAATTGTGCTAGAAATATTATTTTAATGTTGCTGCAAAGGCTGACACTCTAGCCAGGTTACAAACTAGCCCTGAGCCCTAAGACTGAGCAAAAGACCAGCGATTTCAAGGTGTGGAGATTGTGGCTTTTGACTGGAGCCAGATTTCCCTCTCTTGGGTTTTTTTTCGGGCAATCAAATGGAGCCTCCTTGATGGCCGACTGCGCCTCGAGATGATGATGTTGCTGATGAG